GGGTTGAGGGTTGAGGGTTTGAGGGTTGAGGGTTTGGGGTTTAGGGTTTCGGGTTTAGGGTTTAGGGTTTAGTCTCCTTATCATAGTTCATATAGAAACACAAGAAAAGTAGAAAGTCTTAAGAGCCAACCAGAAGAACACCAAGCCACGGTGACGACGCCGAGTGCGAGTGGCCGACGAGCAGAAGCCCTCCGTCCGGGTTTAAGGCTTCGGCTTGAACTGAAAGTTTAGGGTTTAGGGTTTAGGGTTTAGGGGTTTAGGGTTTAGGGTTTGAATCTCTGTAACGGTTCCTAGCAGGGACGTCTACGTCTAAGGGTTCTTTCAAGGGGTTTGGGGTTGTTGGGGTTTGAAGCTTGGGGGGTGTAGGGTTATTTTTTAGGTGAGCAAAAGCACAGGGTTTTGGGTTGAGGTTTAGGGTTTAGGGGTTTAGGTCTGCGGTTTGAGGGCTTCGGGCTTTATGGTTCTAGGGTTGAGGCCTTAGTCTGGGTTCTTGTTGAGGTCTTTATTTTAAGTTACCAGAAAAGGGATCTATAATAGATGAAAAAGCTTTCGTATTCTGGTCTTTGGAATAAGTTACATTCCCTAACCAGAACCCCAGCACAGTCGGCTGCCGAAGCTTTCTTCAGCAATTGCCTGCGACTTCAGACGGTGGTTTCCGAAAATGTTGAGGGTTTAGGGTTCAGGGTTTAGGGTTTAACCCTAAACCCTAAACTCTAAACTAGTACCCTAAATAGTAGGGTCCTTATTATCAGGACCTCAAAATGAGGTACCCCTTACTTTTCGGAAAAACTCCCAAATGAAAAGACAGACAAGGAGCCGGGGTCCGGGTCCTGAAATTCGATGGTGCCCTTCGCTTTGGCTTCGGCGTGGAACTTGGGCGAGAAGGTCACCGGAATACCAGGCATGGGCCACACCTCATAACTAAACTCAAAACGCGGGGGTGGCAGGGAGTCACTCAGACAGGCTTCAAGGTGAATCCCTAAACCCTAAACCCTCAACCCTATACCCTAAACCCTACACCCTAAACACCTAAGCCCTAAGCAGAAGGGGCAGAAGCGGAGGCAAGCAAGGTGCTATGAGCTCTGGCCCAGCGCTGAATCTCAGCATTGCCTCTGCGCTCGCCCCGATCTTGACGGCTTCCTGGAACGTGTCATACTGTTACAGTAGTATAGTAATTAGAGTATTTTACACTAGTATCATATTGCTTTCTGGCAATGTGCGACGGGCCCGTATTTTGGGGCTTTCTGTATTACTCTTTTTTGGTATATTATAATATTATAGTGGCGTATTATTATTGTCTTATATGTTTGCAGTATTGTTGTTTTCATCTCTCTTTCTATCGAACACTTCGGAGAAAGCTTGAGCGCAGCCCGAGAGAACGGAACCCTTGGTAAAAACACCTTCTCCGAAGTTTAGGGTTTGGATGGGTTTAGGGTTTAGAGTCTAGGGTTTAGGGTTTAGGGTTTAGAGTCTATGGTTTAGGGTTTAGGGTCCGTGTGCTTCGCGCCGAGGCTGTTAACGGTAACCGTGGACTCGCCGTTCTTCTTGACATTCACCTCGGCGGAGATCTGGAAGTCTACATCGTGTGACATCTCGATGGTTCCGGTGAGAACGCCCTTTCCAACCAGCTGGAAGACCATCTGCAGATTTATCATGACGCCTTGGATAGGAGCACGGAACCGGATCGGGAAGTAACAGACTATACTCTCTTCTTCAACAACCAGGCCCAAAAAAGTTCAAACTTTTTAGGATAGACCTAATATATAAAGCCAAAAAGTTTAAAGTTCTCCCATTGGCTATCTAAGTATACTATACTATACTATATTATACCATACTGTACTATGCTGTACCATAACATAATATATACATATATATACAAGATAATATACCATCTGCACAAGACAACAAGAGTGGCACCGCGATGTAGTTTATTAATAAATATACATTTTAACATAACGTAAAGCAATATAGGATAGTGTAGTATAGTATAGTATAGTATAGTATAGTATAGTATAGTATAGTATAGTATAGTATAGTATAGTTTAGTATAGTATGATAAAGTATGATAAAGTATGGAACGCGGATAGCTCCTGGGTCGGGAACTCGTTTGCATTGCAAACCAGGGTTTAGGCTTTAGGACTTAGAGTTTAGGGAAGGCTGGCAGATTCCCGGTTTAGACATGTAAAACCTGACAGCATGCCCATGAGTTCGAGATGCAAAACTTCCCGGCACAAAACACCTTCGTGAGGGGCTTCTTCGGCGGTGAGCCAGGTGGGTCTTCCACCGGGGACGGCAAGCCTGGATCCATACTGAGCCCCTTCTGGGGTGTGGATGCATGACCCCTAACACCCTCAACCACTCATGCAAAGCCGCTATACCCTAGACCCTAAACCCCAAACTTCTGCCTAACAGAAGCCGGGAAGCTTCGTTTGAGCGTGTAGCTGCAGCTGCCTTGCCCCGTGACGAGCGTGTCGTAGGACCCTTGCACCGAGCCGCTGATCCGAATCCTAGGCTTTAGGGCCTTCCGGGTTGCAGGGCTTTTGGGGCTTAGGCGTTAAAGGTTCAGGGTCTAGGGTTTAGGGTTTGGGGCTGAGGCTTTAGGGTTTTGCGCGTTTAGGGCCTTTCGGGGTTTAGGGTCTAGGGTTGTCTGTGACTTCACCAGGCTGTTCGGTACTCATTTAACCTGACACCTTTTATCCCCCTTTGGGTTGCACATCGGATAATCCAGCTGCCTTAGTTGTTTTAGCTGGGGTTTGGGGGACATATGCTAGTATGCTCCAGTATGGTAGTTCAGTAAGGAATCCTAAAAAAAGTCCTAAGGCATAGCTTGCTACGTATCTAGGCCTACATAGCAGCACCTAGAACCCGACGAAGGCCCAGGATCACAGTGTCACCGTTGTCGTGAACGGTGGCGGTGATATCTGGGCTCCACTGCGTGACGCCATCGACAGCCACTTTCAGCTCAGTTTCGCAGAGGCCCTCTGGTCTTGGCTTCTGCATTGCCTTTGCTCACGATGGTCGAAATCTTGAACGAGTCTTGGGTGATGCTGCATACTGTGGGAGCTTAAGGTTTGCGAGAGGAGTGAGGGTTGAGGCCTACACACCTCTGTTCAGTCGAATCAGAACCACACAAGCTTCTGTTGTGAAACCGGGTCTCCTGCAAGCCATCCCTGCTTCTCATTACGTCCTTGTACATCTTGTACGGCTGCGTAAATTCACTTCCAGGCAGGACTGTGGTCTTGCCGTCGCTGTCCTGCGATGCCTTGATGCCAAGGCCCTGGGAAAACTCGGAGGTTCTCGAGAAGACGCACCGGATTTCCATTCTGTTGGTGAAGACCTTGACGTAGCTTCCGGCACTACAATCACACTCCCTCCCGATAAGCATTTGGCAAAGGGAGGTGCTTGGCTTCAGACAGTTGAGGAAGTCCATCATCTCGCTCCAGAGTGCCTGCCCCATGCCCGCAACCAAAGGCCCAATTTTGGCGACCTCCTCTCCGAATGCCGTTGCTTGGTCTGCGATGAATTCCCCGACCGCTTTGGCGATCTTCGCCCCTTGCTCGGCAGTTTTCTTCGCATGCTCCAGGGTGGCCTTCGCGAGCCTGACTGCCTGGGTTACAACAACTTCCCCGACATCACGGGCGGTGTTGAGTGTAATTTCACCGACAGACATGGCATCATCGCCGATGTCTTCGGCAAAGTCTTTGAAGGACTGACCAAATTCATCAAGATCGTTCCACTTCAATTTCGGTGGTTCGACGACTCGATTCCCGACCACCACGGCCACGTTGGCCACAGCCGAACCGATCGTCTCGCCTGAACTGGTCATGGCTGCTCCAGCAGTTTTAGGGTTTAGGGTTAACCAGAACCCTGATCCATCTTGCCCCTTGCCCTCGAAAACGTTTCTTAATCAGCTGAAGACCGTAGAACCTCAAACGCGACCGTGGTGCCTGCATCTTCAAGTGCGTCGAACGTGCTTTGAAAGGCATCAACAAAACCACCGAAGAACTTCCCCGAGAGTGACTCATCAAGATGAAGATCTTCAACGGAGGCGTTGGCACGCTCATGCGCCGCACTTCTGGAGGAACGGGCCAGCAGTGCGCTTTGCACGTCTTCTGCGGACCCGTGGAGGTGCTCAGAGTCTGCAGAGTGCATGTCGATGGTAACTTCCGAACTGGTGTTGGACTCCTGTGCCAGGCCAAAAACTGTCCAAGGGAGGCACGCACAAAGACCGCCGCAAGCTGATCCCCAAAACAAAAAGTTTCGCAAACTTGACTGCTCGGACATCTCCCTTACACACGAAAGCAGCCTGCACCAACTTCATTGCGGCAGCCATGGGGATAATGGTCCTTGTCGGCAGGAAAGGTCCCCAAACGTCTAACAGGCATGCTGGGCTGAGAGCGAAGGACCAGAGCATTAATTGCATGCACGACCGCTCCAACATCAACAGCAAGTTGGACTAGGCGTAACACCTTCGTTCCACGCTGAAGGGTTCTGAAGCACGCAAAGCCTCGTGTGATGGCGAACCTCCTGCCTTTTGCCGCCGACAAAACTGAGTCCCACACCAAAGCATGGCCCAGGAGGCTCGCGTAGGCCACGGCATTTGCTTCATTGGATATAGAGAAAACACGGAGCTGGAGAAAAAACACTCTTTGTACACGACTAAACTTGGCTCCGGCCGATCCAGCTGCGGGTACATGGAAAAAATCTGCCGGAGATCGCGACATCCCTGACAATTGCAATAGCATGGGCCTGATGACCAGAAATCATGCTGTCGGACAGGTGTGTGCGGTCTGGTCGAAATGGGTTTAAGTGCCGGAAGTGCCCGAAACTACAGTCGCGCTACGAGGACGACTACGATGATGATCACGAAATGGCATCGATGTGAATATCGCATCTTGCTACTGTGATTACTGCTGTCGTCGCTGGTTCGTGGTACTGTACTATGCTTCCTGCTGTCTTCAGACGATTATTCGTGTTCGCAGTGTCGCTGCTCCTGCTCTCCAGGCAAAAGTTCACAATGTGGGGGTTTCCGAAAATAGGGGACCCTAATATAGTACCCTAAATAGTGGGATCCCTATTATAAGGACCCCTAAATAAGGTACCCCTAATTTTCGGAAACCCCCATGTGCTGGTGTTGTCGACACAACCATTCATCCTGCGCTCCCTTCAGCCTGCATGCCTAGATCCTCGCACCGCTCTTGCTCTTGCACCGGTGACAGCGGTGATGATGACGACGATGATACTGATGACTACGATGACGATGCTGATGTTACTGGCACCGATTATGGTGGTGATGGTGATGGTGATGG